GGCAGTGGATGCAGACAGTGGGCACAACGCCTGGCTGTTTTACTCCATCTCACCCGGGCCAAATGTTGGCATGTTCCTCATCGGGGCCCACACCGGGGAGCTCCGCACAGCCCGCAAGCTGGCCGAAGAGGAAGGGGGCTCAACTTATGATATAACAGTTGTCATCCAGGACAACGGTGAGCCACCAAAGTCCAGCTCTGTGAACATCACAGTAACAGTGGATGACACGGGGGCATCCAACGAAGCTCCCGTGATCCCCCACCACAACACCTTCTACCACCGCACCGGGATGCAAGACATCACGCTGTACCTCATCATCTCTCTGGCCTGCGTGTCAGGTGTGGCCTTCATCACGTTYGTGGTGTTCATGGTGCGCTGCCTGAGGCACCGCGACCCGCTGCTGGAAGACCCCGAGTGCTGCCTCTGCTGCTACGGCCGCCACCGGCCCGGCCGCTACCACCAGAGGCCCGGCAAAGACCTGCACCTGCAGCTCAACACGGACGGGCCCATACGATACATGGAGGTGGTGGGGGGCCCCCAGGAGCCGCACACGCGCACCTACAGGCCCTGCTACTCCACCATATCCAGCCGCAGTGACTTTGTGTTTATGAAAACACCCATGCTGAGTCACAACAACACGCTCAACATGACGCTCAGCAGGAAGCAGCTCATGAACTCAGCCAGTGAGGTGAGGGCGTGAAGGGGACAGTAAGGACGTCTCTGTTGGGATAAGACAAAAATGGGGGCTTTTACGTTTCTACAAAATGTATTTTGAGGTGTTTTGCTTTAAAGGTATTAGTTAAATGAGACTTTATGTTTTGACTCGTGACAGTAGGAAGATTGTGTCATAAGTGGACTATTTTAAGTTGGAAAACCATATTTTCACACAGATTTGAGCAGGTTTAGTGAGATTTTGTCTTATGGARCATATTTGCCATCAGTGTCGAAGCAGTTTGGGTAGCATGGAGTGCTTTCATTATAGACAAAAAAGAGCCAACAGTACTTTTCAACAGATGGGGAGGTGGGGGACACCCAGGTGAAAATGGAGTCCTGCAGAGTTGACTTCAGTGGAATGACTGGAAGATAGAGAGGAACAGGATGACAGAAGGAAATATGGGGGAAGAAGGAAAAGGAAAATGGGGGTGGGGGTGGAGACTCTAAAGCAGYAGATGAAAAACAGGAATTTGCGGGGTCATTGGTCTGACCCTGACTTCCTGTTGTCCTCTGAACCAGTGGTGATTAGTTCCAGGATGCAGCAACCCTTACGAGAGGCAGTTCCTGGTGTGTCTGACTCATCCTTCATATATTTAGATTGATACTTGAAAAAATGTTGGCCAAATAATGAACTAACTCATAAATACAGACAACTAGTTCAGTAGATTAGATTTGTGATGCTTTCATTCATGTGATTCTCTGTGGAGTCTAAAGACGAAAAAAAAGATTTGCTCTCCCTAATTCAATTATTTTGAGGATTTTCCACCCATCATTTGACTAAATGTTGGACGACAGGAGTTAATGCAGAAAATCCTCTCCTTTTCCACGTGAGTTTGTACAGAGTGCTCTGAGTTGTGTCGTCCCTGAGGTCAGGAGGGTGCCATCTGTCTCCCTGCTCTAGTGACACGAGTCCAATGAGGACAGCAGTGGAAAACAGATAGAGGGGGAGACGACAGGAAAGAAAGGGCGGCTTTACGCACGTGTGCCACAGCGACAGACGGCGCGGGGCCATGATGGCCGCCGCCACTGTGAGTGTTTATGAGCCTGAGCTCGAGCGTACAAAAGCGTGAAGCACTAGGAGTCCTGCAGTAAGTGTGTAACTTTAGCAGGACCCTGGGGGCCTTGGAGCCTTCCTACTAGCACCTCTTTGWGTCTTCTATTCATCCGCAGTGTGCTGTTTTGGCTCAATCGCTGCGAACACAAGAAGTTTGGGAATTCAACACTAATGAAGCATAACATGAGCTTGGTTTACAATAAGCACCGTTTTAACACTTGTCTTTTCGTTTAGAGGAAAAAAAAAATTTTCCTCAGGATCAAAATATTCTCATGGCTGTCTAGTTTTGGAAGGGCTGACTTGTGTCCCTGTGCACAAACTATTTACAGGGACCAGTGAGACCTTATGAGGTTGGTCAGTTTAGACACAGTTTCTTTCTTTTTGCCTCTATAAAACCAATATAGCGAGTTGTGATTTTCCTGAAATGTCAGTACTAAACGTAAGAAGAAATTAAGATAGATTCAGTATGTTGAGTTATGTTGATGTGATTGTAGTTAAAACATTGCAATATATGTACAGGCACAAGCCTGAACTGATCACAGCCACCATGACATCTTTGAACAAGTTACTTAGTTCTAGCTGTGTCTCCACCATCACCGGGATGAATTTCTGTTTAAATTGTAGTTTTCCAGTAGACCTGATTATTTTTTGTAGACTCCCCTCTCGCTCACTCACAGAAACACTGGATGGTTTCCAGGTGTGACCTTGTGCTGATCAGTTTCATTTAAAACCCTGATAAATCCATGTCTACACGTTCAGCTGACAGGTTGTATTTCATGCAGAGAGGCCTCAAAGCTCTTTGTTTCATCTGAAGGGTGGACAGAAAATAGACGGATGTCTTTTAAAGCTTCCAGGTCAGTGTGATAATCTGTTGGCTGGATAAGAGTTGAAGCTCACAGAGCTGCAGTCTTGTTGTCTGGTTCTGTATTGGCACAGAGTGGCTGACCTTCCAGCATGTATATTGTTGAAAATGACTTCAGAATATGAAGCTGAAATGATTGAAAGCTTTCCTAAGTGCTTTAATAGCTCAGCAGATTGTTGCTTAGTTTATAATTAAAGGCCCTCAAAATGGCTTTACATTCAATGTGAGTTCCAAATGTCTATTTACAGCAGCCTAGCATACAGAGCAACATTAAATATTAGCCGTTCCCTAAGCAAAAAGTAGCATATGCAAATATCCTTTATGTGTACTAATTTTAAATTAACAAATCAAAAAGGTATACTTTCAGTTTACTTTTTTATGTACTCATCTGAGACATACTTAACCAAGTTTATCTTACACTATACTTGGCTTGTATTAAAGTATACTAAAACTTTACGAATGCTTAGTCTATAATGATTAAAATTTTGGCCAAGAAGTAGTACATTGAAAGCACATTTTCACACAGACTGGTTAATTTGTAGTATGTTTCAAGAATAAACTAAAAGTATACTTAGAAGATTACTTTCAATATACTCCTGAGTATACTTTCTTAAACTCATTGTGGGCCAATTTAGTCCTAGAAGTACACTTGTTAGTAAACTGTTAGTATACTTAGCTGTATCAGTGTACATGGTAAATAAAAGTCCACTTAGGGAAATACACTTTTATATACTTTAGTATACTTAATGCCATGTATACTTAAAGTGTACTTATTTTTGGTAAGTTTATAAACCTAAAAATACATTATAACAGTATATTTACAAACAAAATGTCCCTATTTAGTATGAACGAGTATTAAATCAGTATACTTTCTAGTACACTACAAGTATATGGTGCCTAGTATACTTGATAAACTTAAGCTTATACTCAAGTATACTTATTCAAATGAACTTCAAGTAAACTTCTTTTTTCTAAGGGTTGTGTACAGTTTCTCAGCAGATTCTAGTTTCCGGYGCACACCTGCAGTGAGATCTGACCTGAGAGCCAACGAGCAGACTGCTCAGTGTGTGAGAACCAGTCACGCAGCAGGAATGCCAGGCATCTTTCTATAAAAGTTGGCTTCCACGCTGATTTGTAATGATCTTTTTTCCCCCTCATCTTTACAACTCGGATTCTCTCCCACACCCACATCTTATGAGTTTGTTTTTAATGGTAACTCACTAAAGTTTGGTTTGAAAGGAGGGCAAGAGCTGTAATTCAGATCATAACTGATCGTTTGCGTTTTAGGTTTGAGTCCTTGTTTGTTGTGACATCGCAGTTTGATATTTCGACGCAGCAGTCTTGATTTTTCAGTCTTTCGTTTACTTCTGCATGCTGGGTTACTTTTTTTTAAAACAAGAAAATCTCTCAAATTGAATTCTTGTTCATCTTTATTTGGTAATTGTTTTACTGAATTACCCGATTCCATCACTTCTGCCTTCACATTTGTCATCAACTTTGTTTTCTACTCAACTGACTATTTTTTCCGCATTTAGTTATGAGTGCATTTATTTATTAWTTTTTTTGTTCTCTGGAGGAATTTATTGATAAACTTTGTTTATTTTCCCCTCCCTGCGATCGTGTTTCTGTTCATCATTCCCTCGGGTGGAACAGCTMGTTTAATAATGCAGCATATCAGGCTGCTGGCCTCTTCCTCTGGGGAGCTCTTGTGTTGATTAGGCAGCAGAATCTGGAGCCAAGCTGTTTGCTTTTCTTTTTTTTTTCTTTTTTTTTCTATTCACTGCATCACTGCACAACGAGAGAGCTTGATGGGGAGATGGAGAGAGGTGAGGAGATGGAAGAGACAAGGTGTTATGAGCAGAGACTGAGGCGCAGTGGAGTTGAAGGCATTAATGCAGAGGAGAGATACTTTTATCCAAGTATAGTCTGTTTTTATGAGGTTTTTGTTCCCAATTTACAAACTTCTTATCTTAGAGTTATATTTCTTCTCTTTTATAGTTTTACCCCCTTATAAAGGATCCAATCATCCACTAAGATAATCCTTTTCTGTTCTCTTCAAGCTTCGCTGGTGCTTTTGTTCACGTTTTTAAACTTTATTTAAGAATTGTTGCTCTACTTTACCACTATTGTTCCTGTGCAGCATTTTACACCCCAGAGCTCTTGATGCCTGCACACAAGATATTTATGGCCATCTGTAACTCTTTGTTGAGCCTCATGTTTCCTAAACCACACAAAAAGAACACACACACACATATCGTCACATGCAGATGTCTCCACAAAAGCGCACACGAGCATCTGAAACACATTTTGTTGCTGCTGCTGCTGCAATGAAACGTCCATTTCATGCTGCGTGTTTTCTTCTCTTCGCAGCAAAAACCACCCAACAATGACTGGCGATTCACGCAGGGACAGAGACCTGGACCGAGCGGGTGAGTGAATACAGAGACACACCTGCACACGTTCTTAAAATGCCCAGTGTTGTGTTCATCACACACAAAAAAAAAGCAGTGGAAAAAAAAGATGTTCTGAGCTGCCTGCAAAGTGCAGATTGTAAACCTCTGATGGTGTTGTCTTTAATGTGACATTAAATCACTGAATCAGAAGTGGTGAAATGATACGGCGCAGCGTGTTCGTAGTTCTGATTTTAGCCTCCTGAACCAGAATCTCTGCCTGTTTTCCAAGCTGCTTTATAAAATGGCTGCCGCAGCCTCCCCTCCCCCTCTCCCTCTCCCTCTCCCTCTCCCCCTCCCCCGGCAGTTTCTCTCCTCTCTGCGCTCCCCGAGCCTCTGCATCATCACTCAGTACTGCTGATGAGAGACGGTGACCAGAGCTGGGGAGGAGCGTGGGGGATGGGATGTGTTTACCCATCTTGTTTTTTCGTGCCTATATTTTTCTTTCCTCCTATTTAAATGAGATTATTGTATCAGCTTGCCTATTAAATCGCAGTGGATTGTGTTTTTCTTTTTTTTTTTCTTTTTTTTTTCTGTTTCAGATGTGTGGTTTAGTGTGTTGCTGTTTGCCCATGTTGTTTGGGCTAAACTAGATTGTGTAAAGCAGGAGTTTTCTCAATAGTGATGGCTCATCGCATTCTACCAGTCATAGTCTTATCTGAAATACACCAGCTGAGGCAAAAAAAATCTGTTTCCAGATGGAGCACAAGACTCTGCAGTTAGAAAGACTGCATGGATTACAGAAAACACAACATAATCAGCTTCAAAGTTCACTTAAAATAAAAAAATGACTTGTTTTTGTAATGCATACAACTTGTTCAACATCACTAAAATGTTGTGTTCTTTTACCCCATCTTTCAGTTAAATACACAATGGTTCTTTCAGCTTGAATAACTCTGTGTGTTTTTAGTCCCCACATGCCATACGGTACACAAATACGATGGACAACGAAGAATGGGACAAGGTACTAGTTTAGACTTTGACACTGCTTGGTCACTTTTTGTCCTTAATCTGGATTCAGTTCTCTAAATTCAAGCCCCGCTTCGTGGAAACCTGATTGGATCCAATGATAAGGGCAGAGAGTGACTGAAATATACCCGAGGTAGTGCACTGCAGTCGAGTGCTGTGATGTGTGTAGTTGTAGCTAACCCATAGCTTCTGATAATCTCCCTTAAGGCTTGATGGGGTTTCGTTGTTGATGTGCATACATATAGGCCACAATGCCTGCTGTGGCGTAGAACGAACCGGGACACATATGTGTGCAGTGTTTTGTAGATTTTGCTGTGCCTTGTATGTGTGCCATATAAGTCCAAGAGCTCCTCCTCCTCTTCCTCCTCCTTTTTTTTGGAAACTTGCTTACCACGCAGTGTCGCCTTTGATGTGTGTCTGTGATGGTTGTAGCTCAACATCACYAAATGTGGCTTTTTTAAATGTCATTAATGATAAACCACAGGACAAATAAAATGTCTGACTGATTAATATGTTATTTTATTTTATTTTATTTTTTGGAAAAGTGATCAAAAGTTTTTTCAAAAATCCTCAAGCTGTTAAAAAATCTGAAGTGGAGTTCTGCAGAACAGTTATGAACAGTTAATATCTTACCTGTTGTAGACATTTCTTTGAGCAGCCAAAGTTTTGGGAAACAGATTGATTCATTATTAGATGGATATGCTAATGGCTATTCCAAGCAGGGCTAACTCCAAAGTGGGCTGGTGTTGACCTAAACCAACTGCAAWCTCTAAATGTTTAGAGCAGTTCATGCAAATGCTCTTTTCTACATTTTTATGCAGTTTTGAGTTTTGCGCCACACCATAATTCTTAATATTATGATATTAATGCAGGATGTGCTCTAGCAAATAATTACAGAATTATATGAAAAAAACCATGGGATGTAAAATAAACAACAATGTAATAATTGCGTGACTCACTATGCATTATTTGAAATTGGACTTCCTTAACCCCTGAAATTCCGTAAAATGGTGGTAATCTYCTTTGGTCTTGGCTTTTCTCTGACTACCCATTAGCTCATCACTCCTGTTAGGATTAAACTCAATTTCTTTCAAATAAGGTTTTTTTAAAAAATCTATCTACAACAGGTGAGATAACAAATGTTTCCACAGACCCAATTTAAAACAAACCGGAACTACAGCGTCTTATGTCAACCAGCGTTGACCCAAACAAATCGAGATTAGAGAAATTATTTTGGATTTTAGGTAATGTGTTGAAAATGATCTGCAAAACAACAAGAGGAGCTAACTTAAGAGTTTAACCATGCAAAAACAGCAGTCCAGTTTGCACCACCTTGCCCACAGGAAGTGATAATCGAGACCACAGGAAACGCTCTACAAAACCACAGGATGAGATAAGCCTAGCAAGTTGCTAATTTAGCTGAAATGAAGCGTTCCCCTTTTATCTTCAGTTGTGTGAAGAGCCACAAAATGTCCTCTCTGACTCAACCTGTTTCTCATTGGCCGCCTGGCACAAGACCTACATGTTTCTCTCTCTCTGTGTGTTTTTTTTTTCCCCCGCTGGCGCTGAACCCCTTCAGAGTTTTTGGCAGCACAAACTGGTGACCTTTGCTACAACAGGCCCAAGTTTTTTGTCTTAGAATTCCTTTTTCCACTTTGTCTCAGTTTGTCTTTTGCTTTCTCTTAAATACAAGAAGCAGACTGATTTGCCTAAGGGTATTTAGCTGGTTTGCAGTACAAACGACATTCTGTTTACATCCCTTGGTTTTGTCTCACTACCTAATGTGCAAAAGATTTAGGCACTTAAGAACATAACGATTCGATCAGATGTAATTGCGTGAGTACATTATGCTTTGTCTTTTAAGTTTCTGGATTAAATAGAAATAAATTAGGTTTAGTCACCATTTGAAAAGTTCAAAACATACTCTCCAGTTCAGGGAAAATAATCAGAAGAACAAAAGTCCTCAGTGATCTGCTGCAGAAAGAATGATGCTACTGTGTTAGGAATGTAAATAAATATCTAAAAAAATAGCTCAAGTAGCTAAAATCTTTTTTTTAGTTCCTGTTCTCCTCATTTACTATAAACTAGTTTTACCACTGACCTTGTTTTGCATGTTCTGAAGTAGTTTAAAGGCCCAACCAGCTTGACGCATGCACTAAAACATGCCTTTTGTACTTCTCATGCAGGAAAAAAAATAAATTTTATTAGTTTATCTGCTCTTATTGTGCACTAGCACTGGTAAACATCCAGATAAAGATAAAGATGGGCAGTTTGCTTGCTCTTTGGCCGCAGCAGCAGAGACGGGATTAAAGTATCGCGACCTATTTGTAGAGCTTATGTTAGTGTGCCGCACGTGTGGGTTGCACTCGATCATGGCTGCCGCCTCCTTTGTTAGCCCCACATGCAAATTGTGGGCTGCAGATAAACCAGGCTTTGAAGGTGAAGCTCGCCCAGATGGAAATGCTCAGTGCTTGCTGAGCGCGGCATGGACTGAAATTCCCTTTAAAAGTTGGAACCATTAAATATTGAATCAGATTTACTAGTCGGCTCAGTGCTTACAGGCGTAGCAGCCGAACATGCAGCTGTGTGCAGACGCATTTGTTCAAGCGTGTTTGTTTGTTTGTTTGTAAACTTTATGTTTTTATTATTATTATTTTTCATGCTGAGTCCACCATCAGCTGCTTTGCTTTTACAACTTAAAGCACCAACTGCTGAGGCTGTAAATGAAACACAGATTATACAGATAATTATCTTATTTACAGTTTTACTTGTCCTTATTCTTACCACAGGGCGACTGGAGGACCTGAGGTTGCGATGGGAACTGGCCCCTGGCCCCAGCCCCCCACGGAAGCCGAGCAGCTCCAGGCGCTGATGGCTGCAGCGAACGGTGAGTCCGATACCTCCCCGCCTCTTTTTGTCATTTCCTCCATCCTGTCAGCTCAGCTTCTCTCTTCGTGGCAGATTTATTTCCCTCTGTGTGCACACGGCTGCGTGGGAAGTGGTGTTGTGTGTAGCTTCCAGGGCAACCAGCCAGACTCAGCCATTGATAAAGCGCTCTCTGTCCACATCAACGTTTCCATATTGGAATGATGTGGAATTAATAAGTAACCAGGGTCAGACAGTGTGGACCAAAATACCTGCAGCTTTCTTTTGCGACACATGATGTGTTGTTGAATGAAACGACATAAGAGACGTGTGTTTCCACTGCACACACTCGTCACAAGCGCCAGTGTTTGATTATAAGCAAAACTACAGGAAAACGATTGACCCTGTATGCTGCCGTGTCACGGTGAAGGTCTGCCAAACAAACAAGACACACACACACACACACACACACACACACACACACACACACACACACACACACACACACACACACACACAC